TATTCAGCCGCAGTATCGAAGACTACTGAATCCTTCATGCCATCATAAACTCTGGCCTTCCATTCACCACGCCGTATCACCATCAAAGCTTGGTGTGTGTCCGAATACCTGGCACATTGTTGGCTTTGTTTGTTTCAAAATATAATAAAATATATATCAACAAAAAAAATACACACAATTGAAAGATACTAAACAAACAAGCACAGCTAAGATACACAACCGCCAGCATCAATCCAGGGTAGCCCTGAAGCTTGAGAACCTCGACCCGATCAAGAACTGCAGGGAAGATTAAAGCAGCATGCTCTGGCCATCCATTGCCGTACTCTGACCGCAGTAGTCTTGACATCCCATGCAGAACTTGTCCCAAATGTGCCTTCTCCCCTGACCATTGTCAGGGCCATCAGCAAATTATTCTCAGAGTATGTAAGTTCCTACACACTTGAGGAATATTTATTCCTAATATATATTAAAAACAAATTTATTAATCCATTATTTTATATTGAACATACATATATTTGTTTGAGAAGTACTCTGGATCTCAACAACCATAGGAATAGTTTTAGATCACCAAGAAATTTAAAAATAAAGCAATAAAACTCTAATACAAAAATGTTCTAAAAGTCATTTGGATCTGAGAAACCTCAGGAATATTTATTTCAGGCTACATAGACTGACAAAAAAATACCAGTCCTTCGCAGAAAGGCTGATCTGGCCAACGCATCAGCAAATCACGCTCAATGTCCAGCCACATCTCCTCCGAGTTCCCTGTCTGAGCCTCATCAGCACACTGACAAGCAACACACAAACTATCCTTCAAACACATAAGCAATCCCCACATAAACAAAACATCTCTCCCCCCCCCCCCCCCCCAAAAAAAAAAACACACATCTTGCACAATCAGGAGGCTGACAAACCACCTGCTTTCTCAAAGTGCGAAACGAACTTGGGAAACTTCCACCTGCAGACACGAACAGGGCTGTTCGCCACCAATTTGTTCTTGACCTCAAGGTTCAAGCGACCAAAGGCCTCCCCAATGTTCTCATTCTGCCCTGCATCACGCTGCTCTGCAAATCTGGTCCATGCACTCAACTCTTGTAGGGATGTCTCCCAATAAGGACGCCTGACAAAGAAATGTATTCAATTGATACCAAGGATCTTCCCCCCCCCCAAAAAAAAAAAAACACAAAAAAACAAAAAAAATAAATTCAAAAGATACATAAACTATAGCAGACAATTTGCTGCTCTTTGAAGGGCTGATTGTAGAAGTCGCTCTCAGACATAGCCTCCTCCCTTGGAAGCACCAGCCCAAAAGATCTGGGGCAATGCTTCTCGTTTTCGTAGACCTGCGATCAAGTCATTGTGGTGAATAAATATATTTTTATATTTTAAACAATACTTAAACAACATATTTATTTAAAAAACAATGAAAAAATATACTACATATGGAAAAATAAAACATAACAATAATAAATTTGATATTTAAGGCAAAGCTCCTTAAATGGAAGGCGAACGTGTGCATCCACGATCTCATCGCCGAAGCCATCTTCTGGAATCCAGGAAACCTTGCTGCCCTCTGACTCTGGTTCGTTCTTCAAAGTAGCATCGTGATCCTGCACAGCCTCTGAAGTCTCTGGTGCTGCTGCTCCTGGTGGAAACGTAGCAGGCAAATGCGAAGGCAAACCCGCAACCTTCACTTCTGCCTGAGCAAATATAATCAAAGAAAACAAAACAAACCTCAGCATGTTCCTTCCCCCAACATCCAAAAAAAAAGACAATATTTCAAATCTAATCTAGGTGCCTTTGAAACATCTTTAGGAGCATCATCACCAATTCCATTCATTGCAGAAAGCTGTGTTTGATTTGATGCGCTGATAGATGAAGTCAGAAGGGTCTCTCGCTTCATGTCACCGATTGGAATCATATCAGAAGGCTTGGCCTGTGCTGAGCTGCTTGGTGAAGAGACCTCCGCCTGAACAAGGGACAATTCACCAGGCGGCACTGATGAGACACCTTTGATCTCTTCTTTCTTCTCCTGGGGCGAGTTGAATCCAGGAGGGTGAGATGAGCTTCAAACCATATGGTGAGAAAAAAACAAAAAATAAAACATATATATATGTGTTTGTGCAAGATGCAACGTCAAGCTGTAAGCTGCCCTTGGCCACTTTCTTCATGAAGTCAGAAATTCTGACTGTCTTCTGCCATGCGCCTTCCACCCACACATACTGATGATGGCTAGCACGCTTTCCACCATCAGAGGTGAACATCTCGCAATCCTGTGACATGTTTTTTTGTTTTGTTTTGTTTTTTTAAATACACCATCTAGACTAGTAATTGGTAAACGATCTGTCAAAAACATAAGACAAGAATTAACCAAACTTACAAAACAAACTATTAAAAAAAAATAATTTGATCCAAGAGTCACAGCTGGAAACCCATACGTTATGTTTTTTGTTCCAGACTGGCGGCGACATATTTGCTCCACATGTGAGCACATGGCAAAGAGCAGGAAGCCCACTGGGTGGACTACTCACGCTTTCAGACGTCATCTTGGACCGTACTCGCGACGGACTGCCAATAGCGCCGGACCCCTCCCCCGCCCCCCCAAAAAAAAAACACGCACAACTTTGTATGCCCTCTACCTTTTGCTTGCTTCTGGTGTGTTGCATCTTAATGAAACATCTTCTTAGTGTTTGCTTGTCTGTGGTCTCCCAAAATTATTGTGTTTGCTAGTGCTAGAAATCTCAATTGTTTTTTGAAGGCTCCCTCCAAAACACCAATTGGGGTTCCATTATTTTGTGTGTTGTTTGTTTTAATAAGCCATCTTCTTAGTGTGTGCTTGTCTGTGGTCTTCCAAAACTATTGTGTTTGCTAGTGCTAGAAATCTCAATTGTTTTTTGAAGGCTCCCTCCAAAACACCGATTGAATTTCCATGATTTTGTGTGTTGGCTTTTAATAAGCCATCTTCTTAGTGTGTGCTTGTCTGTGGCTTCCAAAACTATTGTGTTTGCTAGTGCTAGAAATCTCAATTGTTTTTGAAGGCTCCCTCCAAAACACCGATTGAATTTCCATAATTTTGCGTGTTGGCTTTTAATAAGCCATCTTCTTAGTGTGTGCTTGTCTGTGGTCTTCCAAAACTATTGTGTTTGCTAGTGCTAGAAATCTCAATTGTTTTTTGAAGGCTCACTCTAAAACACCTATCGAACTTCCAGTATTTTGAGTTTTGTTTCTCATGAGGCATCTTCTTATTTTGTGCTATTTTGGTGGTCTTACCAAATGCACGTGTTTGTCAATGCTAGAAATCTCAACTGAATTTTGAAGGCCTTCTGAAAACTTTATTTTATATTATATATGATTTTGTTAAAGTTTTTTATTGTGTTGTTAATTTTTTTTATGTATGTTTATGAATTTATATATATACATATAAAAAATTATTCTTAAAAAAAATATGATGATCCTCCCCCCCCCCCCTCCCCCTACCTAATTATTCAAAAAAAATATTCCAAAAAAAATATTCCACTAACCCACATAACACCTGGAATAATTAACTAAGGTACCGTATATGCCTTATCTACTCAAGCCTTCCCCTCTACCCGTTTCAGGTCCCTGAGGTTGACATTCTTGGTGCTACCAAGAAGCTCTTCCCTACAGGTTGGTAACTCCTAGAGGTCTTCCTTGGTTCTAGTCCCTGAGGTTGATAACTCTTCCCCTCCAGGATGTCGAAGATTGACATGATTGACGATACCAAAGGCACTGACGACAACCACAATCCGCGTCCCTGTGTGCCACGATCCTCTGTGCTCTCAGCAAATGCACGTTGTCCTGCAGCCTGGCATGAGTGGACCGTTGCCGAAGAAGGGTAGTGTGAGAAGCTTCATCTCAAGTTGCTGGTTGTATGTGAAGAACTGTAAGTTTGGTGGCTTCTCTCCGATCACTCACTCTTGAGCCTTGGGTTGAAAAAGTGGCGGTGACGAATCACACTCCTCCCCTTGGAGAATGAACGGTTTGACCAACATGTTGTGTTCCGAAAAAGTCGGTGCGGGGATTGTCTACTTTCCAAATGGGGGGCAAACATCCGCACAAAAAAACGTGCATTAACAAACAAAAAGTACCATATATATATATATATATTTGTGTATGTATATATTATATATGTATACATATATCTGTATATGCACTTCCTGTATATACATATTTATACATGAAGCGTCGCCATTGCCGGGCATGGAACATAGAATGACAGCATAATACTGATTCCTAAAGCTACCCATACTCGGATGCGCTCACTTGCGACCCATACTCGGATGGTGCAACATCATACAACATCCCTATTGCGGATCATTTTTGCATGGGATTGATATGCATCAACCGTCAAGATCAGGTCCTTGGAGCGAACCGAGAGGCCTCTTTCTCGCTCGCATTCGCTCGCCTGGCGCAGGGCCTCTCGGTCGCCCTGGTCCTCTTCGGCCACCAAGTCCTGCAGTTTTGGGACCGGCATTGGCGGACCGGAGATCTCAAGGGCACTCGTCCAAAGAGAAAAGAGGGATCTATACACACGAGAAACGCCCCGTCTCAGACACAGTCGACTGCGGTTCCTCCTCTCATCCACTTTTTGAGCCAGCAATCTTCTAACGGCACCGTAGGAAGTTGGAGGACCCACCCGCTTCTCAGCGACAAGTTGGACGCCCTCAACTACTCTGCGGACGACAACCAGTGTCTGGCACCCTCAAAACGCTTGGGTTTAAACGACCAAGTGGATCCAAAAGGCGGCTCTTTGCAGGAGGTGGTTGTGCAAAACGGTTTTTAGATTGAAGCCAGAAGTTTACTTCTGGGGAGATGTAGCGGGGAGACGTAGCACGAGTTCCTTTTTGCACGGCAACGGCAATCATGTGTTGATATGGCTTTGCTGCTTTGAGACCATGTTTTCCAGCACTCGCGGCTGGCACTTTTTGCTTCTTTTTGATGGGTCTGGGTGAAACACATTGCCGACTTGGAGCTGCCAATTAGCAGCAGCACCTGAGCAGCAAGGGGCAAATTCCAGACCGAACTCTGTGCAGAACCTGACACATGCTACTCTAGATGGGAGCTCCAGAAACAAGAATACATGTCAGAAATTGAAAGAATGAATACCTACTCTCCCTGAAAAGGTTTAGGTCATGAGCACTTCGTTCACCAGTTGTGCTGCACTCTTATGAGTTGTTCATCCAAAGCACCGAACCTGAGTCCCTGAGTCCTTCTCTCGGAACCCAGCATGGCATCATCATGGGCCTACCCACTGTGAACAAATCTCTGTTTTGGGAAGAGTGCACGCAAAGCATTTGATTCCACCCAATGTGAATGCTGGGCATGGCTGGGCATAGACTTGATCCGTCACGTTGCTCCCTGACCATGCTCCTGGAACAATTTGATTCTAAGACCCACTCAATACTCTCCACCTCAAAGGGGCTTTGAGGGGCCCTCTGGGATATGACTAGTCGCTCCACAATCCTCCAAGTCGGGTATGACTATTTACTCACCTCGAAAGACATCAACTCCACCACCGCCACACACATTCTGAGGATCAAAGGATGGCCGCCCCTTACTCCAAAAAACACCTCTTGAGCATGGAGTAAGGTTATGATTTAGCAGGACCTGAAACATCGCGAACGATACCACCGCCCAAATCCAATTCCAAGATGTTTGGAGTTGAACACGCTGCGCCACCCGCCCATCTTAAACCACGGCACCCCGGATGTTGGCGGTCCTTCTTCTTCTCGTCCTTGTTCTCCTGAAGCTGGAAACGCAATGAACAAATGTCATTTCTGCTGGGTTTCGGAGTGGGGCCTGCGAAGGTTCCCTGAGTTCCTGAAGCACAGAAGTGCAGCTTCCCGGCCTCCCCCAAGGTCTAGAAGTGTAGAAGCAAAAGGTCTAGAGATCTATATGCTGCGCGGATGACTTAGGCTTTAGGCCCTGAAGTAGTGGCATGGGACTGGCGGCATGTTTTTTTCCATAAAACCTATGTCATGGTGCCCTGTTTGCTCCAAACATGCCCCAACTGGTCTAATGAGATAGGACTTGTGGAAGGGCTAGGTTTTATTTCTGTGGTTTTTGCATCCAAAGGCTCATGACCTGAGTCTTGTGGATTTTTTGCCTTTTCAGATTTTGCATTATGACTTTTGACTTCACGTTCGAAAGTACTTTCGCTGATTCTTATGTCCTTGGCGGGCAATATAGGCGCGTTGGGTTCCTGGTAGTGATGATGGTGGTGATGGGTGGTGGCAATGGTGGTGGGGATGGTGGTGGTGATGGTGGCGGTGATGGTGATGGTGGGGGTGGTGATGGTTCACAAGCCATGTTTATACCTTCCAGAGGTCTACTACTAGAGGTGGAGAGAGATGGGCTGGAGGCCTGGAGAACACACACAATAGCGTGGATGAGAGTACACATATGAAAGCCGCGCCCCCCACGAGGACTGCACTTCAAGGTCCAAGGTCCACCAAAAACGGTGCCTGCCAGCACACTTCAGGGTCCACAAAGAGCTGCGCCTTCAAGTACTGCGCCTGCCACGACAGCTGCACAAAATACTGCGCCTGCCCCAGAAGTCCACACCTCAATTTTGATGACAAAGTGCTGCGCCTGCCACGAAATCTGCACTTCAAGGCTCACAACATACAGCGCCTGCCACGAAATCTGCACTCTGATGACATCAACGCTCACATCGCGCAGCCCTGCCAAGGCGATTCGCAGCAACATAAAAATGCCAAAGCGCAGCTTTCGCTTGAGACATCGATGTAAAAACGCTCCGATCTCCTGCGCCTGTCGTTTCCGTCGCGCCTGCCACGAAAAGTGATCGTCAAGTTCCAAAATGCGCGCGGCATCACAGCGAGAACGCAGTCCCGAAGAGCACCTGCGCCAGTCCACCAGATTCTGCGAGCCTGCGGGGTCGAAATGCACTTCGAAGAAGCACCTCCGATTAGACACCCGGCCTTAACTTAACTATTACCGTAAGAACCCCTAGTGTTACCACACTGTTTGGGAAAATGCAAAAAGCTCATGACACATGACCACGCTGCCCACCTGACCAACATGGGCCAAATTTCCAACCTGCTTTGGAGGTCACCCATCCTTCACCCGAAATCACTTCCTGGATCCCTGCCTCGCACGCTCCGACCAATAAAGGCCCCCGGCCCCCGTCCTTCACATCCGTCGGAAGAGCTGGGCTTTTGCCTCAAGCGGTGGAGGAGACGGTGGAGGGGCAAATGGTGAAAAATACTCCACAAACAAGGGATAACAATTGCCATTAATCGGGCTAACCAAACGGAATTTCTGATCATTTGATCATGGGAAAGAGGTGTAAACCCACAGCCTTCTTTCTTTCTTTCTTTCTTTCTTTCTATCTCTCTCTCTCTCTCTCTCCCTACTCTTTCTGCAACATGTTCTGCACGAAAAAGTGCTCCAAGAAATGTGGTCTATGTGGAGCATGTAGGGACACGTCAGGACTTAAGCTGGCTGGGCCATGCGCATGCCTCAAAACTCTTCAATCGAGTGCTGAAGTGATTTCCTGCAAGTGCAAATCGTACCGGTGATTTTGTGGGGTTTTATGGTCTGCTGTGCTTAGTCTAGCCTTGAGAGTTGGACCGTCTAGGTTGAAAGACCTACAAACCACCATCCTTCATCCCTTGCCACACCATGCGCCCGCTGGACCTGTGCCGCCCTTCTTGGAGCTGGATGGCACGCCCGCGCACGCCCGCTGCGCGCACGGTGCACTCTGGGCGGTGGGCGGCGAGCTCATGGCCTCGCAGAGCGCGCGCGATCTTTGGATATGCTTTGGATTTCTGGCGCCTTCTTCACAAGTTGAGGGGCAGTTCCTGGCCTTGGAACCTCTGAATCGAATTGCTGGTCCAATCTCCAGCTGGTGAGTGACTCCGTGAGATCTGTGGTCGACCTCCCGAGACCCCTTGGAAGAAGGGGAAAATAGACCAAGACCATCCAAAACCTATTGGTTAATTGGTCTTAATCAGAAGATACCAAACCTATCCGAACCTATTGAGGGGTTTGCAACTTAATGAACCTATTGGTTTGGGGTCTTCTGATTAAGTTGCAACCCCCTCAGTCGCAGCATCTCATCTTCCCGCGACTGAGCAGCCGGTGCAGCCCAAAGTGGACTGCTCTGCCACGAGTTGGTGAGGGCCGTTCTGGCCTGGTGCCGCCGGTCCCAAACTGAGACCAGGGATTCAACTAACAAATGGACCCTAAGAATGGCACCTGGATAGGCTGTTTTCCTCTACTAACCAGTGGTTTGCAGGGTATGTTAGTCTTCAGAGGGGTTAAAGTGTACCTGGCAAGGTTGTTGCATGTCTCCTTCATAAGGCTCCAACTACCTCCGTCTCGAGTGGGTTTGGGGAGTCTAACTTCTGAGGATGTGGTTGGAGCCCCAGGGGCCTCTTTACATTTGCATACTGGCACTATGCTGCAAAAGGTGACGTGGAAGAGTTCGCGTCCATGCCACTTCCAACTTCAGCCGGGCAGCCCGGCCGCCTAGCCCAGGATATGGCGTGTACAAAATTTTCGTGTTAAACGAGTCCAAGTCGGACCAACTCCGGCAGCAAGCGCCCAGGCCTGTGCGGTAGCCTGTGGGCTCTGCTCAACCTCATGCTTCTGCCCGCTTCATCTCGGGTGGGTTCTTGATAAACGGCTTTTGAGCCATCTGGCACTAATAAGCACTTTCTTTAGAACAGGCTGACCCTCCCACCACTAGGATTTGGCATTGACTTGGGGCGAATCTTTCAAGGTCACCCTTGCCCTTGAGGACGGGTACAGGTCAGTTCTTGTGCGCATCGTGGCAGAAATTGGATGTATTAAATAATGAAAACACAAAACATCTATTCGGTGTTTTTGGCCGTAGCTGCCCGTAGCTCACATGCCCACCTTCAACCCGTCATTGGTCACCGGTCAGACCGGTCAACTCAGGAGATGACAAACACAAGTGGCGTCCGCCAGGGTAGCACACTTCCCGGTGTTTTTGTCCAAATCATATATCATATACAGTACATCAACGATTCGTGCAAAAATGATACAGTAAACACATGCACACACCCAAGTTCGATTCCCTGACCCTGAAGCAAAGTTTTTCAGGGACAAGTACTTGGGCAACAGGATCGCAGGGAACTACTACGGCAACATTGAAATTCCTTGAACCGTTGACCTCCCCCAACACAATGGAAATTATGTACGGTGCTTTCGAAATTGCTGGCATTAGACCTAGTCCTGACCAGGTCATGTCCATCCTCAGTTCCCCCACAAGCAACGGGCTCGGCCGGCCCTCGGAGCAAGTATCGCATCTGGTTTGAGGAATGATTTGAGACGTGCTCTCTCAACCTCAAATATGTTTAAGAATACGTTTGAATATCATGACCATTTCTCCAAGCAATCTTCCAACCAAGCAAGTCCATACCAGTATGTAGTATGTAATAGTAGGTTCTGTGCAGTCAGTCCATGCCTTCTGATGATGGCGTGTGTCTATAGATTGTTTGAATGTAAAGCACTTCCAAGCAAAAGGTGTTCAGCCACGTCTGGATCCGATGACGCAAAAACAGCTAATGCATAATCTTTAAGATTGAAATAATATATATATATATTATATACTTCGGGGAAAAGCAACATAGACCAGAACTCAATTTCAAGTGCGCTTTAACATGGACCACTGGAAACGGTGACTTCCTGGGGAAACGGTATTAGCGCCTTTTTTGGCAATTGCTGGACCGTTCCCACTCTCAGTCTATGATCGATTTTGACACTAACATGGACCAACTGCACTCTGACTATAAACTGAACGCAGGCTAACATAGACCGCGCCGGTAGAGATCAACATGGCCCGGTGGAGGCTAACATGGACCATGTCACATACCTCTAGGGGCCTCCTGAACATGGTCTACGTTAGTCTCAAGCGAGGTACTGCAGGTGCAAAACTAGACAGCTCTTTTAGCACGGTGGAGGCCAACATAGACCATGCCAAACACCAACACGCCTGTCTGAACTTGGTCTAGGTTCGAACGCAAAAGAAGGGTCCATTGCTAGAAGGTTGGAGGCCATTGCAAGTAGGTTGGAGGCCATCGCAAGTAGGCCTTGGTGGGGTGTCATCACAAATCTCATGGGGAGAGACAGGCGCCAAACTAGACAGCTCTTTTATCATCTATAGCATAGCCCGGTGGAGGCTAACATGGACCGTGCCACACACCTCTAGGGCCTACCTGGTGCATCATTGGTTTTTCAACGTGTTCTTTTTTGAAATGTTCACAGATTGCTTCAAACAGACTTCAAACATCAATGGAAGACAGGAAATGAAGGAATTAGAGCAGGAAAATGACTGGGGCGGCGGGAGACGGAGACTCCGCACCGAGACAGTGTCGGGTCCCAGGGCGACAGCGAGCGAAGTCCGGGGCCTCCTAACATGGTCCAGGTTAGAACGCAAAAGAAGGGTCCATTGCTAGCCACTGCAAGTACTGTAGGTTGGAGGCCATCGCAAGATGTCCTCACAAATCTCAGCTCTTTTATCATCCCGCGATCTCTTCATGTCTCTTTCACGCTTCATCTTCAAAGTGCGTTGGAGAAGGGGCGGCTTAAACAAAACAGAAGGGACCGGAAAAAACAGCTAATGCATAATCTTTAAATTTCAATAACAAATTAATATATATATATATATGTCTGTTCGGCTACAAGACAGACTTTGAGGGAGTTGCATCCTGCCCGCCTTTGATCTCTAAGTCTAAACGCATTCCATCTTCCCGTCTCCGCCGCTTTTTTCACGCCAGTTCTTCTGCCCTTCCGAACGTTGCCATTGGTTTGGCCTTCAATAAGAAGGAAATCCGTACGTCTGTCTGCTTTCAATTCAGATTTAAGATCTCAAGAGTACATCTGTGATTGAATGGTGGCATGGGCCGCCCCATGGGCCGCCGGAGTGATGCTTTTTCATAGGTCCACTGTGGATGGCTAGCTACTAGTTGTGGTTGCGAGGTTGTGTAGATTTTGGCTGGGTCAAGTGGGTTGAACCATGTGGTGGTCATTCATGTCCCGCTTGCCTCCCTGATCTGGCCCTCAGGATCCGTCCCCTCCCTCCGCCTGCAACGTGGGTGTCTGCAGCTCAGAGCGGTAGCCCGCCGAGACTGTGGACCTTGGCTGTGAACATTGGTGAACACCATACTCCTAGCAGCAGTGCTGATTACATCTTATTACGCATGATGACTGGGACCTGTCCCATGATAGATGTTCCCCGGGCTGTTCAGAACGGGAGAACCTCGCAAATTGGGTGACAGTCTGTACAGCCAAAAATCTCAAAAATGTTGTAGCAACTTTGAACTATAAAACTGCGTGGGCTCCATTGACAGCTCAGTGAGTCATAAACCCAGGGTTATTGCTTTGAAACTTTGCCTGGCTTGAACCAATCCCATCTTTTCGCACCAAACTCGTTCGTCCCCCGCCCTTTCGACCCCGAAGGGCGTCGGCAGCTGCTCGGCAGCCCCCACAGTGTGCGCCAGTCAGTGCCGTTGGAGCGCCTGAACCATGCACCCACCTCATGCCGCAACGCCTGCAATGACTGGAAGGGCTCGAAGATCCCTGGGCTCGAAAAACAAACAGATTGAGTCGTTGACTGGCTTCTCTCTTCGAAGTGCTTCTTATTAAGGGCGCTATTGGGGTTGCATGGGGTCTCTTCTTCCACGACAAACAAATCGTACACTTGCGCACTCTCTCAAGCACTGTAAACCAAAGCAGTGTTGCAGCTTGCCACATGTTCAGAGAACATCCACCAGCCTATTGACACTGGGCTGCCAGTGAGGGACCGGCTGCAAAAGGTTGGTGGCGGGTTCACAGATTGGGCAGTCAAAATCAATACAAACGGAAAATCAAAGGGCTCTATAAGGTGTCCAAGGCGCAATCAGTTCTACTTAATTAATTATAATACAACTCAACGGCAAAAAGTAGTAGGATTTTCACCACGTCACATTTCACGAACCATCACCTGACAGGTCATCACAACTCTCATTTCATAGCACTCCCACTGTTCATGTTTGAATACTGTTGACTAAAACTTCCGCCCACCAGCTCTGCCGTTGGGTATGCACAAGCCACCGGATTTTGAGACACCAAACGGCCCAAACGACGAATGCCAGCAGGTGGCGGAGCAAACATTGAACAAATATCGGTAGGACAGGGATCTGATATGTAGATTAGGGGACGCTCAGGTTAACGAGGTAAAGGTTGTTGATGGTGGATCTGTAGCTGCACAGAGCGCCGATGGAAAAAACAAACATTATTATCAACTTCAGAAATGGTGTTGAGCCCATCCAATCCAAGGTCACGCGGCACCACTACCCTAGATCCAATCCGACAATCCTCATACCCATTCGTCCATCCAATCAACCATCACAGAGCATCCCAAGAACTGGCATCACCAGCATCACCAAGTCCCCCCTAAAAGGATAACTTTTGCACCACCACATCTATCTGCTTAAGAGTTCTACGAAATCAGAGCGCGTAAGACTCCTAAGACCAACCTGGAGGTCTTGCGTAGCGGCTGCGACCCTCAAGCATGGGATTTGGTGCGGGGGACAGGTGTTGAGTAACACTCGCAGTGTTTTACAGGCCTTTTTGGACACCAACCCTCCAGCACGCGGCCTCCATTTCAGCATCGCGGTGAGCTAAAAGGGACTTCACCTCCAAGAGCTCTGACAGTAACTGATCTTGCCTTAGCTCAGTGGTTTCATGTGGCTCAGTGGTTTCAAGTGCATAATCTGAGCATGTCTGACCGCAGGCACGTTTTGCAACATCTCACCTTTGGCGACTTTGGCCGCCCCTCCGCCGTCTTGGGGAGGAAGCAACGATTTTGGGGAGGGTGTTTCCTCCGTGAGACACAGCCAAAACCCAACTGCCTCGGAGAAATTCACCATGTTCTTCACCCACGTGCCATGGTCCCTTTGGGAGGCACACAGGCACAAATCTCCTCCGCTCGGGCGTAGAAGTCCTCAAACTCCATCCTGAGCTTGGTTGGTCGGTGCCAACACGCGCAGCAGGCACGCATGCAGCCGAGATCTGTGTAGTAGAGGGATGATGTGGCAGAACATGTTTGACGGGCGCTAGAATATTGTTGTGGACAAATTGGAATTTGTATTTTGACATTTTTGACCACAAACATTAGGGATGGTGCCATCTACATCCATCTACCCCCAATCCACTCCATGATTGTGGCACTAAATAGGGAGACCCCCCGAGCTCGATAGCGCAAAACTTCTGTAAAACCAGCGGGGTCAACTTGAATCTTCAACAGACAACACAAGCACCAGCAAAGCGAAAGACACCGAACATCGCTGCGCGGTCGAAACATCTTCACGGGCAGTGCTCAAGGATCCTTTGATGGTGAGATGGCCACGTCATGGGAACGTCAGAGTGTGTTTATATTCTAGGCTTCGATTCCACAGCCCCCAAAAGCTAAAGTTCCCATGACGTGCCGAGACTTTCCGTCTGTTCCGGGATTGCTTTCCCTAATCCAACACCTCGTCCTCTTCCTGGATGGAGTACCTTCCAGTTCGAAGGAGTTTCAACATCGGCTCCACATGTGCACCAGAATTGTGTGTCAAACTCTGCCACGAACAACAGTCACTGACTTGCGGATGATGGCAAATTCCAAAGCAACTCTGTCATCGCTTCCATGGCTCTGTTCTGTGTTCATTGCATTATACAAGGGTTTGCATCAACCACGAGGATGCTTCCAGGGTCAACGAATCTATTCGGCAAGAACAACCGTCGCCTTGCCTGCCATGGCAAGCTCCTCGTCCTCCAGCTTCTGTCTGCTGCAAGGGTGGAAGTGAGCAAACCTTCTGCTTTGGAAAAAGGCATCTTGTCTTTCCAACGCCGCTGAAGCTGTGGACAATGACAGAGTAAACTCGAAGCAGCTTTGCGTCTCAACCTCTTTGATTTCCACTGCGTGAGCGACACAGGCAAAGCCTAGCAACCAGCCATGCTGGGAGCGCTCTCTCCCCGACGTCTCAAATGCCGAATCTGCAATTAGCACATTTCTCAAGCGACTCTCGGCAATGGCGTGGATGTGAAGGCGCACAGGGAACGTTTTCAAATGAACCACAAGGTCATTGGCTGCCAGGATGTCAGCTACTGAAGGTTCTGGAAAGGTGGACGCCAAAATTGAAGCGCCTGCCGAGGCATCTGGGCGACCCTCTCGGGCCACCCAGTCGAGCGATGCAATCAATCAGCGTCCTTTTTCGAAACCTTCCTTCCAAGCTTGATGGTTTCCAGCCGGGTGTAAATGAACTCGTCTATGTGACTCTGGAAACTACAATCTTCCATCTGGCGAAGATGCCTGCCAGCGTATAGGTGGATCCCTCTGGAGTTTGCAGCTCACTGATTTTGCCAAAAGTGTATCCTTCCAGCTGTTTCATTCGCTGCATGTGAACCTCTGAGCCACCTTCTGCAACGTCATCGACAGTGAGAATCATGAAACCTTGACTCAACGCAGTCTCCGACTTGTCGCTCAGGACCATATACAACACTTGTCGTCGACGTTGAGGTTATAGCCAAGAGTTTCAGCGGCTAGCTTCACAAAGGCTCTCCTCCACCATGATGGCCCACTTACAAGTCCGTAGACCTCTGTCATGAGCAACAGAAGCTGTCTTGGGTCTAAACCAGGCAGTGGCTCATCTTTACTGGCGGACTGCAATCTTCGTCTTTCTTGTGGGCGGCAAGGCTTGGAGAAATGCCGTCTTCACCTCTCTCACCCGACAGGTCCACTTTCTTGCAGCGGCCAGCTGCAGGCAGTTGTGGAGTGAGGTGCTCAGTGGCGTTGGTGCACTTCTTTCAACTTCATGAATCTGAGGATCCTGCCAGCCGACGGCCCGACGACGCACAATCTCGACTTGGGATTGGACTGGTCATTTTCCAACTGGCAGACCTCATAGTGGCCTTGCCCAATGGCAAGCTTCTTGTAGTGCTCCAACTCGCCTTTGGAAATCTCCTTTGGCTAGAACACGAAGGTGCTCTTCGAAGGCCAGGCTCTCTTCCCAGACAAAACCTTTGACAGCACCATTGTTGACCAGCCTGTCGCTGAATGTCACCTTTTCGGGTTCTGAAAGGCGTGCAAACTCCACTTGGCCAAATGAGGATTTTGCTTTGATCAAGTAGAAGAGCTGGTCTCTTGGGCAAAAGCTTGCTTCGGCTTGAGAGGCTGCGAAGGTTCCCCGAGAGTTCAATCGAGGTTGTGGGAGAAACCTGCCCTGTTCACAGACATACTTCCATTTCACTCCAATGAATGGTTTCAAGGACTCCCATTCTAGCCATGTCTTCGTCTTGGTCGAAGTTGATCATTTCCAGGAACGTGGAGTTCCCTCACGGCACAGGCAATGGAGGGGTGGCGCCAGTCATTGGGTATGGTGTTTGACGGCTGCAAGTTGAATCCCAACGGTGGCGTTTCTGGTTCTCCTGGTGAAGCCTTGCAAAAGGGCATTGCTATGCCACAGCCCCTAGGAAAGGGAATATCCTTGAGAAAGATTGAGAAAGGATGTGTGCATGCTATATCCAGTGCCAGGCGCATTGGCTTGCAAAAGCTTGCTTGTAAAAGCTTGCCCTTTCCAGCAGCAATCCAGCTTACAAAAGCTTTCCCTTGTGAAAGGATTGCTTGAAAAAGCTTGCCCTTGACAAAGGGAACTTGCTTGCGCATGCATGCCCTTGCAAAAGGCAAGAAGAGCTGGGAAAAGCACCCAAAGCAACAGTTTCACCCCATGGCTGGGGCAGGAAGTGGCTATGAACATATTGATGTTGATCTTGATTTTGTTTCCTGCTTTTTTGTGTTCAAACATGACCCTTGAAATCAATAGAAAAATCTTGATTTTCCCGCCTCTGATTTCAATATTCTATATTGAACAAAACCTTGAAAGCAATATCACTTTTCAAATCTTGGTTGCAATCAAATCGGATTCTCAGGGAAAGTTCCATCCGACTTGAGGTGACGAGTACACTTCTCCAACTTGATCAAGGAAGTTGCGAAGCCCCATTGACAAAAAGCTTCTGTGCTCTCGGTCTAGGATCCTTGGCTCTCCATCAAAACCACTTCGTCCAAGCTCAGTGGCGCTTGGAGTGAGCAGGTAAGCAAAAAAAGGTGGTGCGATGCCGTCACTGCTCTCAGACTCCATCTGGGTGCCAAGCCTCACGGCGCATGCCATCATCGCTGCTTGTGCACCTGTCCCTGGCTGCATCATCGGCTTCTTAGTTTTTCTGGGCTGGATGTGGTGTTGGAGAAAAGGTGCGGCCTAACAGTTTGAAAGCACTCTTGATCGACGGCTGTGCTCCAGCTTGGGGAGTAGCGTTCAGCTGCTCCATCATTTGCGTGGCGTTCAATGGAACACCTGAACACGAACCAAGTCCTGGCGGCGGCCGCATGAAATTCCCAGCAAAACTCTGTCCTTGTACCAGTTGGGGACTTGTTGCATGCATAAATTGTGAATGTGGGTTCCCCATCATTGAACTCATTCCCAAACCAGTTCCCAGCATTCCCACAGAAGGGGGAAAGGCTTGACCAAAAATTGAGGCCGGAAAATGCCTGACCCATCCCAGCACCCTGCACGGATGTTCCAGCAAAACCTCGGACCGAGGCGTCACCTGACGGTGCAGAGTGCGCCGCAAGCCTGCCAGCAGTTGCTGGGCTGTTGGAGAGATACAGGTTTCCTGAAGCACAAGGTGTCGAACGATTCGAAGGTCCGCGGCAGCTACATTTGTATGATGCCCACACCCTGAGGGTGGTCCAGGTCCTGTGTATTGTTGCCATGGATCCAATGCTTGAAGGGGATCCATCCAACCCAACGAAACAGAACAGCTGGCAGGGAGCCGGGAGGTCATCTCCGGCTCCGCTACCACTGTAAAACCAGCGGAGCCAACTGGAATCTTCAATAAACAACGCAAGCAAAGCGAAAGACACGGAACATCGCTGCGCGGTCGAAATGTCTTCACGGGCAGTGCTCAAGGATCCTTTGATGGTGAGATGGCCACGTCATGGGAACGTCAGAGTGTGTTTATATTCTAGGCTTCGATTCCGCACTTGAATAAAACCACCAGTTGGTTCGGGGCACTTCCAGCATGTTCAAATCGATCTGGTGTCCTAGGGGGCGAAGAGTTTGGACCCAAAGGCTGACTTCGGCCTGGAGTCTGAACCGCGTGACGACAATATAGTGACTTTGTGGAACCAACCATCTACCGTGGGCCCAAACCCTGCAGGGCACCCCCCTTGACCACTGAAAACGAACAGTGGCGGGGGAGGTGCCCACAGTTGGAGGGTCCCCCTGGTGGATGGGAGCCATGGGCTGCAAGGATGTGGGTTAATTGGGATATTGTATGATATTGTATATTAATTGTAAGATCATGTAAGTAAGTATATAAACTATGATATCTGATTAGCAATTGTTCAATCTCCTGTCATCTGTGAATCTCCGAGCTTCCAGAATAGACCATCATCCTTTTCCTCCAACTTCAGTGCCTGAGCCACCTCGGGAAAGGCCTCCCACTCCTCACTGTCATCCGCCCAGGCGCCCGTCCATTCGTCATGGCCCCAAGGGTTCCGGACACAAACCAGCTTGAAGTCTCCCACCTCCTTGCACTGCACAATGGTGTATTGGTGGTTGTTG